CGGCTGGGCCTATTAACCGTGGGCTTAATAACCGGCGACTACTGTATATGGATATTTTTATTTTCGCAAACCGAATTGTTCACATCTATATCAAATGTCGGCCAAAATTAAAAGTGTTTTCTGAGGTCCACAGACATATTATTTTTTGTATGATATTTTTCAGTCGTTTGCTGAAAAGCCGTCAGTTGTTTTGACAGAACTGATATTACAATAGCAGGCCCCCAATACTGAAATCAATTATACCATAAAAAGTTAAGAGACCTGTAAATTGCAAAATATCGGATTTTTTGGGTCGTTTGTTTACCTGACATACCAAGATGTGGCGTTCTTTATAGGACAATGTTCAGTGTCCAGAAAATGTTTTCGAAACATTTGATGTATTCTTACGTTTTTTAGAACATTTGTCAATTGACCAAGCCTTTTTTTATTAAAGCTCAGGATGGCGACTTTTTGGCAAAAATCCCCTTTAAATCAGTCTTTGGATTTATCCTTATCTTTGTTGGCGGCGGAGTAACCAGTGGCACATTATATCAAGCCCTTTCGGAAACGGAAAATATATTCCGGAGACATTTTCTCCCCATTCAATGGTTAGTAAAATAGTATTGAATTTAACTTTGTTCCCTGAACAACCACACATACATATTAATTTTTTCGATTGTTTATTTGGGAGCTGCAAACTGTGGAATGTTTGTGACTTTGAAAAAATATTTTCAGAACATGCAGGTATTTATTTTAAAAATTCAGGTGCCTTTAAATAATCCACGAACCCATGCTAACATTATGTTCCAACCACTTTCTTTTTTGTTGTTGGACTTCTGTTAGACATGCTTCCATTTTAACACTAGGTACAAGAAAGCACCTCGCGTACATGGATGCTATAATCTTGTAGTGGATTTCATATTTCCTTATCAGATGTAAGAAAATTGATTCATAAATTTTTCTCGTCTGGAACAACGAGCAACTAACTTTGACATTCAAAAACTGCTTTTAAGACACGCAATTTTCACTTAGAGTGTGCATATAATGCGCCCTAATTTTTGTACGTTTGTGACCATGGTTATTTTGTTGTGGGAATTAATGTACTATCTTAAATCCCTATAGAATGTTTATTTTGACTGCTATTCTTTAGTATTGTTTGCGCAAGTGATGTAACGACCACTGTCCCCTCCCCCAGGGATTATTCTGGCATGCGTTTATAGATGTTTATAACAACGGGGACAGATGCGCATCTGTTTCACTTTCTTCTTGCACACATCCTGTCCTCATTTTCAAGATAAATGTGAGCACTGTAGCCAAGTTTGTGTATACGAGAGCCAAATCGGTGTTGGTTCCTGAGATTACATAAACTGAATTTCAATAGTGTTTTGGTTTCTCCTCGGAAGGCGTCTCTGGGGTGAAACAATTACCAAGAAGCCATTTAATTCCGACTCTGACTCCATGCTAGAAACGAATTAGACTGTTGTTTGGTCATTTACTATCCTACGACTTTATAATAAGAAGGAAAATATTCGCTTGATCATCAGTGTATCGATCTCGTTTTTAGCAACACAGAAAACCTAACTCTCATTTGCTTAGCCTTTTCCGTAAGACCGTAAGTGCTCCATTAAGAACTCTATACCAGAATCGAGCAAATATTATCTTTCTCAGTTGCTGTGAAACCATTATAACACGTTATCGACTTCAAGGAGCACAGTTTGTCTTCAAGACTCCTAAATTCCTTTCTCACAAGGTCGATGTTAACGGACACAAATCACCCTTATTCTGACATTTCAACCGTAATTTCCGACAAGATCTCAATAGGTCTTCAGCGAGGCTGTGCAGGGATCCTAACCTGCGCATAAATGAGAATCTAGTGGTAGTAGACTTGCACTGCTGCTACCGCACCCTCTCTCTCCCTCCCCTACCTGTGCCCAGTGTCATGACCACGCGATGAATATCGCCTGTAGGAGAGGGACAGATGGTTAATGCGGCTGGAGCCGCCCTTAGGCCTGCCGCCACATCTGTCTCGGAATCCATGTA